ACATGGAAACAATGCAGGTGTGTACAGTCGATATCTCGAAGTCTGATTGGGCGTGTCACCGGAAATGACGTGGCAGCCACCGCACTTGATAGAAGTTGCGCGGATAAGCTGCTTCCAACACGCTTTGCTGATATCTGGCGGAGTATTTTATCCACACAACATCTATCAAGTGCGGTGGCTGCCACGTCATTTCCGGTGACACGCCCAATCAGACTTCGAGATATGAACTGTATGAATAGATTCGGTTATATTAATTACCAGTTGTTCAACGACTAGAAGAATATAGGAACCATGTTCGTGTAGGACCCGTCGAATACCTTCGGCCCATAATCTCTGATTTGTAGTACTAAATAAAGTTTGTGCTTTTGAAAAATCACGCGTCAGAAATCAGGGATGAAAGATGCGAGTGCATTTGAACGTTGAGGGTAAGCAAACAATTCAAAACAGTGCTCACAAAATACAAACGAATGTAAGAGAGAGAGAACGTAAAGAGAAACTTCAGCCATGAAAACCATCCTACCCCGCTAATCCAACCTCCCCCCGCTTCGATTTCTCCACATATAGTGAAAACTCCCAAGTGCTCAAGCGAAGAAATAGCCCATTATTTGAGTCGTCGGATTCTCAAGCACCCTTTTTTGCAAGCAGCCAAAATCTGCGGATGGCTCACAGGGATCTCAAAATTACCCCCTAAACCATTGTGTTGGTCTCAGCCTTTTTAGAGGTTTGAAAAGCTCTTCTCTACTCCACTGTTACTCACCAAGAGCTCCGCTTGGATGGAGGGAGGCATGTGGGAGGAACTTTACCGAAGAAGTGAGCTGCGAAAGAGAACATTACCTGGCTTTCACTAGATTGGAAGCATTGAGATCAACCAATTCCTCGAGTCCTATCGCAATAATCTCTGGAGCCTCGTCCACATTATCAACCGACACTGCAAATAAGCCTGATAGATAGATGACTGTTCAAGGGAGGCCAATCCCCAAGTTGGAGAGCAACATGGGCCACACTTCCAAAAAATCCATTTTGCAATGAAAAGCTTGAAGGTGGATAGAAAAAATCAATTCTTATCCACAGAGCGTCCCATTTGGGATGATATAATCCATGCCGATGTTACAACAGTGTTTAGCCACAACTCATGAGAAGAGAACTTCCGAGAGAAATTTTCCGGACCAGGATTTGGGATATACATCCTCGTCAGCCCATCTCAACAAAAGGGGTAGCAAAAAATTGCTGCTGAAGAAGAAGAGGGTCCTCATGAGCCTGAAGCTGCTACCAAATTCCTTCAGTAACTCACCGGCGCTGTTTAGTAATCAGTTAGATCGTGTTTGTAATCAGTTAGAAACATCGGGTTTGTGTCCAGCAGAGCGTTTAATCCATTTGAATGTGTAGGGACCAAGCGTTCTTCTCTGTGCAACCCCACTCCCGCCCCCCGTATAATCTCCCCTCTCTCCCCATGTATATATTCCACTGAAATGCAGGTGGAATTGTGAGTTCCTCTCTTAATTCAAACAGTTCATAGACCACTCTTCGCATAAATACGCATCAACGCGGAAGCATACCGAGAAATTTAAAAATTAAAAATGCATTTTCGTCAAACAGCAGTATGACTCAACGAAAAGGTATTCACGATTTCCGGGTGATGGAGAATCAAATTGAGCAATGATTAAGTAAAAGACATTGGAGCATTCAGCTACGTACCTAGCGTTCCATTGGGGAAAATCCAATCGGCCATGTTCGACTGATTACGAAACGCGATGTTGTGCATATTTTTACCACCGTTCACGTTCCACGTACCTAACAGAACCGAAACATTGCCAAGTTTTGAAAAGTGTACAGTACGCATGAATTACCTATGAAAATTTTGATGCGGTCGAGTGACGTCATCTCGGAGGAACGACTAACCACCTGCTCGACAGCTTCATCGCACTCTGCAAACTATGCTAATGTTTGCCTTACTCAGGCACAATAAGCGATACTACTACAAAACTATACTTACAAGACTACGCTACTTACAACAAGGGAAAGAAAGCCCTGAGCGAGACTAGAAGTCCATAACCCACCATAGAAGTAGTAGTCATCTGAAATTTGATAAATCATTCCAAATCTCATCGAAAGACATACCTGAATAAGGCTCAAATCAATTTCCTATCACTGTCCTACATTATTCAGCTGCTGAACAGGCCTGCCTTTCGGGACGATGGACAAGAACTTCTCACAAATAGATGACATCTCACAGTGTTGTTGGAATCACCTACTTTCCCAAAGTCACTCCACCAATGACGCCCAGTGACGTCACCAAAACCGCTCCGCCTTCCAACTATCATAGTAATTTTTTTTAAAAAAAACGGAAAAGCTTTTTGCGGTCGTAATCCAGTCTTTGGGATGCGGTACGCATCTCCTTTTTGTAACATTCGTCAAGTGGCGTTTGAATGCGATTTGGCCTTATACAATGACTTGCGGGGGCCAGCCGATGTACAAGTCAGTGTTTTTATCCTCCCAGACAAGTCTGGTACCAATTAACCGACCCCGGAGGGATGGAAGGCTTGGTTGGCCCGGGCGACTCACGACCCAGGATTTGATCCCGGACCGCTCGCGTGGTAAGCGTACTTCCGCCCATCCTCTTTAGTACTCGAGAAACTAAAGTTTCAATGCGGAGCCTCTGTTCAAACCACTGGTTCAAAAAAAATTAAAGACCCATTTAAATGCGCCCACTGCAGTTTAGTCATGCTTCATGAGCTTTACAAGGTATCTATCCTTTACGACCACGGTATCTCTAGTTTCGAGTTTTTATACTGAGTGAATTCAAATAATAGATGGGAACAGCTGATAAGAAAAGTGCCGTGCAGAAATGTCGGTACCATGAAGGATAGAATTTGGAAGTAGGGTGACAGCTTTGTCGAAAATCGGCGAGTCAAAAAACGCCCCAGAGAGGAAAATGTCGAACGATTCTTGCTTCGAACTGTCCATCAAATTGTTTTGTATTGTACGAGCTATGGAGCGAGATGCGTCTTTCAACTGAATGCAAAGCATGAGCTAATATCGATGAGTTCGCGCACAGGCTTTGTCCAGATCTAAAAGAAGAGACCAAGGCTAAGATTGATGTATTACCTTGCTCTTGCCATCGAGCGCTCCCGTTCCCGCATAAATATTGCTGCATAAATCGCCATTCTTTTGCCATAAATCACGTAGAATCTCTTCAATACGCTGACCAATATACGCCTTTCCTTTTTCCAGTTCCAATGCAGCTACTTGATCCCTTACAACCTAAATAAACTCTGGAACTGAAGGGGAACATAACAGCGATTCGCGGTTCTAAAGAAAAGCAAAAATGACGAGTATTTAATATTTCCTTGAGGAGCTTTGGAAGGATTCTAGGCAACTATGTAGTCACGAAATGCGAGGAAACAAGCTATTCTGTCCAGCATTTCGTGACTCGAAATCTTAGCATATGGGATATCCATCACATTAGCTGGTAAGCTTGGGGGCGGCTCCCTCTTTCTCTCGCACTGCAGTGTCCACCAGCAATCCATATAGTCTGGTCCGCTTTGCTTTCTTTTTTTTTCTGCATAAATTTCCTACTTGGATGGAATGAAATGACCAAGTGAAACATGCATCCAATTGCTCAAAGCAATATATTTCAAACTGCTGTATACGGGAATGCGAAAGCTCTTTCAAGGATATTTCTACACCTTGATACGACTGCTATCTTTCTCTACTATACTAAATTGTTATCCGTAAATTATGGTTTTTGAGATTAAATTATGGTTTTTTTTGGGAGCTGAACGGCTTTGAAGTGCTTGCTCAGTCGGCTGCAATCCCCTCGGCCTTCCAACCACGCCCACTTCGAAGCCGTTCAGCTCCCTTTCTAGCGGCTTTCCAAGGTGAGTTTTTTGTTCAGTCACACTTCTTATGTTCTTGACTAGGGCTAGCGCATCGTTCCACACCATTAGTGTCGAAGGTAAAACCCTGCTGGGACTGTTGCTTCACGCAAGCCGAATTACAATGAGCAAGCCCTTGATCTTAGCTTCTTCCACTGATCCTGTTACTTTTTTTACTACCAGCCCAGCACCTCTCCTTTCATTTTTGTAAGCGTATCACACCAACTCGATCGCGGGGTGTCGTGGCACTGAAAGGCAACTGCTCGGCTTCAAGCAGTGAAAACCGATAACCGGCCTCATTGGATGTGATGCTTCTATGCATTTCACATCGAACTTAATTCGATTCAAATAAATTCATGAGTTTAAACATAAGACGAACCAAAAGTCCTATGGCGGTCTGAAGGGAGTTGGTTCGATCTAGGCAATCAAGACAGTTGACCCGTAAAATTCCTGTCTGACGCCTAAAAATATAAATTTCTCAATTTTAGCCAGCCAACGAAAAAAAATCTACTGAGGCAAAAAGAGAAAGATCAGTCCTGACCTTTTCACGTTACCATCAGACGCCAGATAAATTGAGTTGCTGCTAACGATAGGGGCAAGTTTTCTGACGAGATGATTGAGAGAATCCTTTGATATTTTCATTTGGTAGTGATAGTCAAAATCAATGAAATCGATCGAATTGGCCAACTTCGAGCTTTTGTGTTGCGTCTGGAAGAATTTTTGATATTTGAGGCAGCCAACGAGGATCGCGAGAGGGGATGGAGGGCACGATTCAAAAGCATAACCGAAATTCTGGAAAGGACTGGAGACAAAAAATGGTCTCAAAGGCTCACGTACACGGAACGCATCAGCAAGAACTCTTTCTCCTTCTTTCCTGCCAAGGAGGTTCACGACCGTAACCTTCCCATACATCGACTCCAGTCGAGACATATGTCTAGAATAACAGACAAGAGATAATGGAGAGGGGATTATAAAAATTATTCTAAATGATGTCATTGAACCACATTACTATTATACATTACTACACCATTGAAACCAAAAATTGCTATGGCTACTCCTAAATCTTGATTTAGTTTGACAAAAAAAATAATCAAATAACCTATGGTAGGCTGTACCGCTTGCCTCGAACGCTCTCAATTTCACCTTGTGGGAACCGACTTGAACACCAGGTTGTTCCCAGAACAATGGCACTGAGCCTCGAACCTGCACCAAAGAACACTCGCCTTCGTCGAACACAAGAACCTGAACAGTTTCAATAGTGAGTAACCTCTAGTAGTAATATGAGCAGGCTCTGCCGTTTTGTATTACCTGCTCGGTCTCCACGAAATTGGCGACATATCCAAGCGAGTTTGCGCCACGCACATTGAACCGCGTGCCAACGCGTTCGCAACTGAGTCGAGACAGCAGCGCAACACGACCAGTCCGATGGCCCACGTAAACTGTGCGCACCAGAACAGAACTGAAACTCTTTGCCAGGACCATTTGAATTATCATAAAACATCTTTCGCACTTTCATCTTCATCCCTGCTCTCTTCATACCATCTTTTGTGCAAGAATTACTCCTCGATATGCAGCATGTCGAAAAGGCTTAGCTCAGAACCTAAACTTATGTTGATCTTCTTCAGGTCAACACGTTCAATCGCGGCGGATTTCTAAGAACTTTCACAGAACTCCCTCCCCCTTCCTCATTCTTGAGATACCCTCAAGCAACAACTTGCAGCACCACTGGCGAGGAAGGAGGGAAGAGATGAGGATAGGAGTTGAATATGTCTGAAGAAGTCACAGATGCTGTGACTTTCTCATATGCTTTTTCCTAATCCTTTCGCCAAAATGCTTGGAAACGCTGGCGAACACCCACTTCCTCCCTCCAATGTAACATTGCGCCTCAAGTGCGACACCGTGACCCTCGCAAGAACTTCAACTGCGACCTCCTTGTAAGCCATCACCGACGCACAAAAGCCAAAATGCGACCCTCGCCTCCGAAATTTCCAAGAACGTTCCCCTGTTGAACATGGTACAACAGACAGCTGATGCTCGTCCATCCAGCTTTTCTCAGTCAACTAGTCATTAAGGCACTACCCTGTCACCTATCCATTTTCATGTTGAGAAGGTAACTTATATGAAATTCCTCATAGAGCTATGACAATTCCTAATATTTAAAACTCACCCCACTATGCATTTCAGGAGCCACTGGCAATTGTCTACGCCAAACCTTTCAAAAGGGAAATGCAGAGTTCTGTTCCTGTAATGAAAGTGGTTCTTATAATAGCCTCAGGAATGACAAGCCAAAGTGATGAGGTCCAAATGAGATGCTCACCAGAAAAACCGTGAATCACTGCCTGTATTAGCCGCACGCCGTTGAGCACACAGAGTTATATCGTAGCGAGGATTTGAAGAATAGTAGAACATACCCGAGGACAATAAGCGTTGTAACTGTAAAAATGGCAAAGGAAAATCTCAAAACAAGGATATCCGAAGATATTTGAAGA